AGAGAGAGTGAGAGAGAGAGAGATATGCTTCATTTCAAATTTAAACTGTTACACTTCATCCTGCTGTTTTCTGATTCTAAAAACGGAAACATTAACAGTTCACCTCTGACCTCAGCTGAATACACATAACTCTTGTTTGGACAAGAGAATGGGTCTGAAAAAGTCAGCAACACATTTTATTTGTTTAAAATTCCCTGATTGTGGCTGGAAAGCAATGAAATGACAAACTGTTTCCTGCTGATGGCTGCAACCACTGTGTTAACGTCTCTGTTAAGTTTGCAGTTCATATTTCTCCAATTAATCTTTGCAGGGATTTGCATCACTTTTTGGATGAATCAGTGTTTTCAGTCTGAAGTTGAGCAAACTTAGCTTTGAAACACTCTGGACTGGATTGAAAAATAATGTAAACCATCAGAGAACCAGAATCTGTCTTGTTGTTCGGTTTTCTCAGGGATCTCCATCCATGCTTGGTGTGGCAGTTAGATCAGGCTAGGCTGGATGAATCAGGAACTCCCTCAAAGGTGCTGGAACAAATGAGACATTTTTTAAGGGATGCAGTCTGGCTATTTCCACAAGGCACTAGAGCTCCACCTCCATCCCTAGCTGAGGGTTGTGTGGTACTCTGTGGCAGAGGTTGGTTGGCAGTGTTGTGCAGCCGCTGGCTGCAGTTCAGGAAACACTGAGAGCTGCAGCGCCATGCCTCTGTTTCTGTTCGTCTCTAAGTTTCATTTCTTCCTCTGGAATGTGATGCAGAGTTCATGCAGGTTCAAGGCCTGAACGAGTGGGAAATAGAAACAGAAAGCGTCAGTGTCCTGTGTACACATACCCGAGTCACCCCCCCAAACACACACACATACACCCCCACACACACACCCCCACACACACATACACACCCATGTACAAACACCCACAAGCAAAGCTTTTTTGTGTGTGTATATCTAATGCTGATGTTGTAAGTTTACCGCTGAAAACTGTTTCCCCTCTGGGGTTGATAACACGCAGGGGCGGGAAAAGGGTGAGGTTTTGGGGTGCGGCACTGAATGGGGGCAGGAGCCGGTGAGGCGGGGGCAGGACAAGAGGTGTTTTCCTCTTGTCCCCCAGTGTGAGAGCTCCTCCCTGTCCTGTCCTTGCCTGCTCTGAAGGGAAACTCCAGCTCAGTCAGACCTGAGGGACTCAAAGAGAGCAGCTGTTGATCCTCGTCTTCTCTACCTCCTGTCTCAGGTGTGCACTCATGGAAACCCAGTCAAAAAAATCCAACAAAGTCCAGAAAGTGGTGATTGGGCTGCTGACCATCTGGTCCCTCATCGCCATCATCATCTTGGTGGTGTGGGCTACATCACCAGACCTGAAGGGCTCAGCCCAGTGCCGCAGAGAGCTGAAGGAGATGACAGAGAAGCTGGAGGGGGCCAAGGTGGTGCATGGCAAAGACAAGGCAGCCCTGGAGGAGAAGGTGCTGGAGGCCAGGGAGGAGAAGGACAAATTGAAAAGGGAGATCCTGCTGCTGCTGGGACACCTTAACGCCACCAATGCCACGCTGGAAGCGTGCCAGCAGAAAAATGTAAGTGCTGATTTACTTCAATCTGTCAAAACGCAGAAACAAACACTCCAATTTGGATGAAATAGGAATTATTACTACTACCTCAGAGCTGTGTTAAACCTAAGCACAATCTTAAGTTCCAGTTTTCATTTCTTTACATTGTCTTTATATTTATTTAAAGCAGTGAAGCTTTCTAGTAATCTTGAAAATCGGTCTTAATACTTGGCTGGATTTTCTTAAAGACATTGACTCTTTTATTTAGACTATTTCTCCTTATCATTTATATTTAATTCAGCATCCCGGACATTTTTGATTAGGTTGTTGGTCCTTTTCTTTCACACATACAAACAGTGTAAAAGCAGATAAACAAGAAAATATCAGATTTTTACCTCCATTATAAAGCAGTATGTTTTTATGCCTCGTCTCTTTTGGAAAACAGTTTTTTTTCCCCAAAGTCTGAATCAACAGCATAATTTGTACAATAACATTTAGAATGGCCTTTGCTTATATATATATAGTGCCATTTATATGACACTTTGAAAAAGAAAAAAGAAAGGTGTTGTCCATGGCCATATAGATAGCTGTTTGAACCACAGACTCTACTGACATCAAGGGTTACATTAGAGTTCCATCAACCTCAAGTTGCTTTTTCTGTAAGTCATATTAGTAGAAGCACAATTCAAAGTGCTGTACATGAAAAGAGCAAAAAAAAAAAAGAAAGCACAGAGAACAGTATATCACAATGCCATAAAATGTTAGAGATAAAACTATACATAAATCTAAGGAATTGAAGCACCTCAGAGTGAAGGGATGAGACATTCTGCTGTATATTAATGTCATGCTAGGCCATGCAGAGGCTCTGTCTGCACTGATGTAAATGGAATGTACCTCAGCAAGTTTTGCATTTTTACCCAATTGCAGTGAAAAACCAATGCTACAATCCTTACTGCTGACTTTTTTCTTTCATTTATTAGGTTTAAATGGATGGAGCCACAATTATTGCAAATGTAATAAATCAAGTACCAGTTGATTAAAAACAGGTATAAATGTTAATAATTTCTGCTCCATTTAGATGGATGATCAACTTTTAGGTTTCGCTTTTGTTTGTTTTTTGGCAGTCGGTATTTTTGCCTGAGGTGCACTGATTTCCTCCTGATATAAAGTTCATTGAAACTTGTGGTTTTGGTTGCCAAACAACCAACAGAATTGCAATACTTTCCTTCTACATCCTGAGCTCTTTCTATCAACCTAAAGTCTGGTTTAGACAAACAAGGTAAAAGCAAGGTAACTGAGTACTTGAACTAGACAGGGCCAAACATATAAACTAAATGAGGTGTGAAATTAAAGTAGTAAAGCAATGGCTTAGATAAAGAAACTTTCTGGATTATGACATTAGCTTGACTAGAAGCAAATGTACTCATAGTTGTCATACTGTACTTCAAGGTATAGAGCAGAAAAAGTACCAGTGTTTTGTAGTTTTATTTTTTAATAGTACTGAGGTAAATATAACTATTTATGTACTAGGAGTCCTTTAAAATCACTTACCTTGGGGTGTTGCTATGGTGTGGTAGTAGAGTGCATGACCCTTATATTGGCTATCGCAAGTTTGAGGCTGTCAACCCCCTCTCTTGTAATCCTCTTTCCTATATGCTGATGAAGATTCTCAGTCATCCAGGTCATAGTCATTCTGTAAAAGTTCAAAAAATCCTCTGGACTTGGTTTCCAAAGTTTGAAGATGTTTCGCCACCTCTCCAGGAAGCTTTCGCAATTCAAATGTCTGAATCCTCTTTCCTAATATAATAAAATAAAGGCTACTAAAAAGCCTGTTTTTTATTAATTCAATAACATTTTTCAAGAAACTGTTCCTTCTGGTCGGTCTGAGAGGGGTTAGGAGCTTTTATTTGATGCCTGTCATTCATAAGTCCTTTTATACTAGTCTTGAGGGGTAGAAGGAGAAAGGCTGTCCTCTCTGATACTCATATGACAGCAAAGGTTTGTCTAGATTTGCAAACCTATCTAAAGTAGAGATGTTAGGTAAAATTAGCCTGGTCCACGTTTGGTGAAAGCCAAACACAGCACATGAGCAGAGACACCTAATCTCAGCTGTAAGGCATAGTGGTGGAGGGCTGATCATTGGAGTTTATGGTGCAATCACCAGGAAATATTCCAGCTATGGGGCTTACCAGGAACTGCTCTGCATACCAGAGTAAATCATCATTCCATCAACATGATTTCTGAAGCTCAGTCCGAACTGGGTCATGTTGTAGGAAAAATTCAAAGTGTCAATTGAGCTCCTTTTTGTGTGCTCTGCCTAAAGCATTCGCTCAGGCGGATTTACACCTGCTAGGCCAAGCTTTGAGAATGAAGCCATTGAATTTTAGGTCTTGGTAGGGTTATTTTGGTGGCTGCATCTGTTGGTAGTACTGCTAGTCTCTTACTTCTTACAAATGGTGTTTGACTGGCATGACAGTTAGGAATGCTCTGTGTAGTGAGAACAGGGCTGATCAGAACAGATCGGGTGATTGTTATGCTGTGACTGTTCTCATTTCTGCAGAAATCATTAAGATGCCTATTGAATGACAATCGTCAATCACTTTGCATACTAAGCTGCTTTAACCTAAGGTTAAACTTTTTCTACAAGCAGGTGAATGACTGATAAAGTCAGACATTGAAGGACATTTGCTGCCAAATGTGTTTCTACAAGCTGGATAATAAACCTGCTGTGATATGAAAACCCTGAAATAGAGTCTATTTACTACTTAGTCTCAATGGTTTCCATGGTTCTGGAAGTGGTCGCTTGTTTCCCTATAACATTTAATCAGCTGATGTGAATCTACTACAGCTTTGTCTCATAAGACAAACTTGATTATTTCAGTGCCTCATGTTGTTATTGTGAAGAAGAAATGTGTTTGCAGCTCAGTTTTCCCACAATCGAGGAGCAGCAACTTCCAACATATGACAGTCTGATCAGCAGAAACTGATCTTCCACCTAACTAGCATTGGGTTGCACCGTTTTGACTAATGTGAGAATGAAGCAACAAAAGCTTTGATCTATTCATTTATTTATGGTGGTCTTTCAGCTCTTTTTTTCACTCTTTAAGGTTTGTTTTGAGTGTTTTAGATTGATGTTTAATCCAAACTCTTTCTATCCAACTGTGAAGAAACGTCTCAGTGCTGATTTGTGATGCTCTGAGAGCCTCAACAAATTGTATTCAAATGAACCCTTCAAATGAATGTGACACAACTGGTTTCAATTTAAAGATCGATTTGCTGCCAATGCATCTATTTTTCTCAACCTAACTGGTAAAATGAAAACCATACTCCTCTGGAAGCAGTGTTTAAAGCAGATAATTATAAATCAGATCTGCAGAAACAGTAAGTAGGTTCATCAGCTTTCTGCATATTTCAGAGTTGTGATAGAAACCACGCAGGACGTCCCACTCCCTGTTTTTTCCACCACTGGGAGACTCCATTTTCCCTCTTGTTCTTGGACTTTCTGCTCCCAGCTTTTCCAGCTACAGATCCTCTGAAGAGTTGGCTGGAAAAAGTGAGTGCTTGCCTCCTGCTTTTGTGGTTCTTAGTGAGTCACTCCTCTTCTTCCTCCTTTTCTTCACCTCTTCCTTACTGCTAAGTTTTTCCCTCTCAGGCTTCTCCCCTCCCACTAATCTAGTAAAATATTTCAGGATTTGGAAAACCTCAAGCACTGTTGCCAGCATTACTGTGGATTCTGGATAAACATGAATATTTTTGAAAGAGAATATATTAAATTAATGAAAACACTGAAGAGTAATGCTACGTTTTTCTGTACTTCAGCTTAAAATATTCTTGATATTTGTGTGGTTGAAAAGTCAAAGCTGGATCTGAAAGTCTCTGCAGATTCAACAAGCCACAGATGAGAATGTTCAAAGTCAGATAAACTGATTCTCATTCAAACAGAACCATTGGAGCTCTAATGTCCCTGCAGGGGTTGGCCTCTGACAAACCTAAAGCTGCTTTTATAAAGTTATTAACACATCCATTTATAAATAATAATTTGGAAAAGGATTTGCTCCTTGCTAATTTCTTATTCCCATCTTGTAACAGAAAGGCTCCAGTGTTGAAATTAGTTTAAATAAGATAGTATGAAGAACATTTTAAAAAATATTTTTAAAATTATGATTAACTAAATTAAGAGAAAAAAACCTTTCTAAATTAACCTGCATGATCCAACCATCCATCCGTCTTCTCTCACTTATACCATCAAGATTGTGGTGGAGCCGGTGCCGATCTCTGGCAGTCTATTGGCGAGAAGTGTGTACACCTTGGACAGGTCACCATTCTGTCAATGGGCAACACAGAGACACACAACCATGCACATGTAGACACACCTAAGGACAACTTAGATTAACCAATTTATCTAACACATGTTTTTGGACTGTGGGAGGAAGCCAGAGTGCCCCGAGAGAACCCACTCATGCATGAAGAGAACATGCAAACTCCATGCAGGGAATCAAAATCAGAACTTTCTTGCTGCAGGTCAACAGTGCTACAAACTGTACCACCATGCTGCACTAACTTGCATCACTGTATGAAAAAACAACAATAAAATGAACTGTACTACAAAACATGCAGACCAAAAAATTATAGAGATCTGAAAATCAATTTTTGATCTAAAACTCATATATGTTCTTAAAAATGAGAAGCACTATAAGAGTTAAAGATTCAAAAATCTCCAGAGTCATAAAAGTTTATACATTTTTTTTGAGAAGTTATATTTGTCTTCTTTGAAGCTTGTTAAAAACTTTCCTAAATATCTAAAAGTTAAAACTTTAGTTTTTCTTAATTTTTCACCTGCAGCAGCTGCTAATGTCTGTTCATCTGTGTGTGGTCATCTAAAAGGAATTTGAATGTTTTTGTTTATTGTTTAAAGCTGCTTTTATGGATAAAACAGTAAGAATCAGCTTGGAACCAGACAGTCAAGATGTCAGTGGCTCTTCATCCCTCTGTAGTTGGTGACGTTGATTTATTAAGTACATTTTTTCTTAAATAAAGTTATATTATTATTTCATTTTATACCCATCAGCGCATTCATCTTTCCTGAGAAAAAAGGACAACATTGATTCACATCAGTGAAGCACAAAAAACATCACAATCAGGGTTCTACTTCCTGAGAGCTTCCTGTGATCACAATCAACCTGCATCATGTAGTTGAAGTTGTTGAGCTCATCATTTATCAGCTTTATGAAATGCTTTGTTGAGGAGGTGAGTGATCCGTCACCATCAGCACTGCCCCCTTTATTGGCTCAGCTGTTAAATATTTAGACTGGGTGAGACATTTGAAGCCACAGTTGGACCTGCAGAAGAAAGGGACACACTTACATGTTTTGCTTTATAATAATCCAAAATATTTGCTTGGAGTTGTATGTTTGGCCTCAATTTTGTCATGTCAGTTTTCTCCACATATGCTCATCTGTGCCTTAATGTCTATAGACCTTCAATTAAAAATACTGATTATTATTTGTCCTACTTTGGGTCAAAGTGTTGATTAAAGCCGAGCATAAACCACAGGGCGTGTATCAGTTAGTTAGGGCGACCCAGCTGTGGTTTGTGAACAGCTACTGTTTGCAGACATTGGCAGCAAAGTGGAGCTTCCTTTACTTCACTTCCTGCTGAGCTTCGATATAAACCGGATGCATGAAGGATGTGAAACATAATGTGTTTTGGTGCATGCAAACACGTTGCTTGTAAGGTGAAAATGAGCCAATATTAAGCTTTATATGAAGTTTATTCACACGATTTTTTGTTATAGTCAGATTTTTTCTTCTTCTTTATTTAACTAGGTAAAACCCGATTTAGATCCACATCTAATGTGGATAAGGAACCTGGGAATAAAACCTGGATATCTTGTAACTTAAAAGTAAAATAAATTAAACAATATGCACAAGTGTAAAGCAAACTATAAAACAGTTTAAAAACGACAAAGATTAAATTAATACTATTGCTTGTCTTTAATAGTAGCTCAAAATAAATCTTTTGAATTAAAATGCGACATCAGAAGTTCAGACTGGACCTGATTCCATGTTACAGGAGCCATAAGACTGAATACCTGCTTTGCTTTTTCTGTTTGAAACTGGATCCTGCAAAATAAAGATGTTGTTAGAGCGTTAAGAATAGGTGGTAATAGAATGATATAGGAGAGACCGACTGAAGCCAATCCGAGTGGAGTTTTATAAATCAGGATCATCAAGTGATGTCCGTAAGTTTAAAGGAGACCATTAGCTTTTGCACACAATTCACAATAATGTGAAAGATGTATATCACCTGTTACAAACCTCACAGCACAGTGATAAAAACTGTTAAGGATTGAATATATTTGGTTGAAGCATTCATTCATAAAAGGTCTGCATAATCCAGGAGGTTAAAAGGTTTCCGATACCATTTTTTTTATTGTTTTACTTGATTTGACAGAAAAGCAGAAACCTTTGGAATCAGGAAATCCATCCTTCATTCTCAGTGCACTTAACAAACTTGCCATGTGCTTTTTTAAAGGAAAGCAATCTTTAGAATATATTTGATGAGAATAATCATAGGACTTAACACCTTAGGCAGATCAGATTATTATAAAGGTTGTAATCATTTTAAGCAACCAGGATCTCGGCTGTCATAGTGAGCAAAATATAGAGTTAGCATGACCAGCATCGGTGTTTGCATCTAAAACCTGCTTTTATCTTAATTGGATCACAGGAAAACACCTCCCTTAGATGCTGAAGAGTTCAAATCTATGTTGAATAATCTGAAATAGTGTTTATTAACCTAGCTATTTAGAGATAAAAATCAGTTAATACAGAGCTTTACTTTATGGTTTTAATAAAGTAAAACTGCTTAGTAGATAAAGGGAGTGATGTCCGGGCAATTCACTAACACAAACCTAAAAAGAAAGAAATTCTCATTTACCAATTTCCCTTCTATGTCTATCAGGAACTATAGGAACTTACTGTATACTAACCTTTAAAAGGATGCTTGATACAATCAATACTTTTAGTTTTAAAGATATTTCTCCTTGTACGATGACTGAGATAAAATATAGAAAAAAATTTTAATCTTTTTTCTGTCTGCTGTAAGCTGTCTACAAATCCACTTTGACATCCCTTGTCTGTAGAGTTTCTCACACAGCGACACAAGAAAATACAACTAATCAGAATCACTGATAGTCTCCATAGTTAGGGGCCTCGTCTGATTTTGTTCATTCTAAAGTAAGAAAGGAGGCATTAAGGTTGTTTTTTCGATGAAAGTAGGGTTAACGTTAGTAATGTTAGGCTCAAACACAGATGTAATTGCATGTCAAACTGACCTGTTCTGGCAAACGCAACATGCATAATGCTGAAGGTCTTTTTTCCATAAAGATGTAAACACTTGTTCCCCCCTAACACCCCCCCCCCCCAAAAAAAAAAAATAACAGAGAATAGTTGCCCTCATTTCAACTTATTCATTGAATAACAACAACGACAATGTTTTCATCTAAACTTATAAATTCTCCCTCAGTTCCTTAACACTGTGAGAGCTTCTAATATTCCCTCATCTGTGCGACTGCTGGCCGCAAACCCAGAAAAAGCTGTTTTATTCATAAAGAATGAACATCACCTGCAGATAAAAATACAGTTTTTAAAATCACATTGACTTTATACATATAAACAACAGTTTTCAGGGATTTACACAATAATTTGGGTTACTATTTCTCTGCACTGTGATCCTGTGCAGAAGGTTAAAAAAACAGGGGGACCATCAAACATTTATTGGGGTGGATGTTTTTATTGGAGTAATGATGCTGCTTTGAACTGGTTCAGCTGCAAAACCCCCATGAGTTACTCGCTGGCTTCCTGCAGAAGAGTCAACCCCTGCAACCTCCAGCAGAACCAGGCTGTCATCAACCCCCAAGCTTTAAATCTCAGCAATCTTCCAAATACTTTAATAAATATATGAATTTTGCATCAGGCTGTTGTTTCTTTAACAGTAAAGATCTTCACTGTTTGTATTACATACATAAAATGGTGTTTCTCACTTTCAAAGCCCTCTATCTTAGTTATAGAGGGAACAATCATAAGCCTTAACTTCTTGATTAGCTTCTTAGAAACCAAACTGTTTGGATTGTTACATCTATGCCTGGCAAATAACAATGGGTCTTCAGATGTGGGAGAGCAGTTTAGACTGTAGATGGTTCTGCTTTTACAGATGATGCAATAAGAAAGTATGACTCTGCCATGGTAGTCTGAACATGTTCAGTTATTAAGTAAAGAAGGCATTTATCTGCATTTGTCTGTGTATAATTTCTGTCATCTGGCTCATGGCAACCACTAAACAGGTTGCCATGAGCCAGATGGCAACCACTAAACATTTGCACTGTTAATGTAACTCCTGAGATTAATTAAATAAACTTTCTTGGTGAAAAGCATGAGATTAAGTTCAGAAAGGACAATTTAGTCATTTAAAAACATTCATTCATTTCATATTTCTATCTTCCTGCAGATTTAAAGCTTACAGTATAAGATCAGTACACAAATGCAGCAAGAGACGAGGCTGATCTCTATTGCATATGACACTATATAATAATGTTAAAACCTTCAGAAACAAAGTAAAGCAATGGTATCAGGAGTGAGTTATGGCAACTACAGGAAATGTCTACAAAAGCCTTCTTCTTTAGCTTTTTTACAAACTGAGTATTTGGGGTCAGATATGATTTGGTATATTTGGCAAAGAAAAAAAACCCTGAAGAGTAGCCTCAGAGCATTATGCAGCCAATACTATGCAACACAACGGGTGTTCAACTGAAAGCTTTTAAGCAGACACCTTTTTTAGGAACATTGGGCCAAATGTCATGTCATCAGAATATAACAGTATTCTAAAGGGTTTTAGGAAATTTAAGCCAGGTTACATGTTCTTTTGAAAGCCTGCTGCATGATCCAGGCATGCTGGGTATAAAGGAACTTGCTGTTACATGCAGAACACAACTGGAACTTGTTGAAATTCTGGGTCTATATGACCTTTTGTTTTGTTTTTTTGCCTTTTTTTTTTAAAGAGACTGTTAAAAACTGTTATTTTCCTCCGTTTTACTCTATGTTGTATTTTTGTTTGTTTTCCAAAAGAGGAAACCCTTGTAACAAACTGTTAATGCAGTTTGTTAAAGTTTGTTATCTTTAGTAGCAACTCACATTTATCATAGCATCATCATGACTTTGTTTTTATTCTTCATTGCTTCCTATAATATGTTTTTTCCTCCTTTTGGGGTGTGTTTGTTTTGTCCTGCAGATCATGCTAGCTGAAAACATCAGTGCTCTGCAGGAGGACGTCAGGCTGCTGCAGCAGAGTGAAGCGAACCTCACAGAGGAGCTAAACCTGCAGAAAGGTAAAACTGTAGGAAAAACTCCATCACTTCCATGAAAGGAGACTTTCTCCACTGGTATTCATAGCTGCGTCTCCCGGCCCCCCAGTTACCATGGTGACCAGTGAGTCAGAGTAAATAAATATGAACCAACTGGATGGCTTAATAGAAGAGTGTGTTTAAAGTCTCTTTTTGAGTCATGTAATCAAAACATGAACATAAATCGAACCATTTGAGCTAAAAATATAAATCCCAGAGACCCAGATGGTTCATGTGTTCAGTCTGAGTTGCCAGAAAAGAAACCTAAATCTGTTTAAGAGAAAAGACTAAATTAATCAAGAAGCAGGACAATTAGAGATAATTATTGTACCCTAAAAGCTACTGTAAAAGCTTTAACTATCCAACTTTATTTGAGAAGCACTTTTAAAACGAAACAGCTAATCAAAGTGTAGTGCAGAAGAATAAATCCAAACTTCACAGATAAAATACAAAGATGCTCAAATGGGTGAAAGCAACATTTACACGATCAAAGCAATTATAGCAATGAGAAGGATCAGTCCATAAAAGCTGGTTATTTACTGTCAACCCAGATAATAATATTATATTCTTTAAATTAGCCGTAGTATTTTGCAAAATATGCATTTCTCATATTATATCTAGAGGGCTTTTCACCAACAAGCTCAGGATGTTTGGAATGTATCCGTTGAGGAGACTAGAGCAGAAGAATCTGGTTGGGAAATCTCAGGGTTGTAGGTTTATGTTGTGGTTCTTTTGGTGTTTTCACACTCTGACCTTCAGGAAACATTGGAAAGTTTGAATGCCAGAATGATACTCACCTTCTAAAAGCATGAAACTGTGGTTCTGGTTCAGAAGAGGCTGGAACATTTCTTAGAGCAATTTGTTAACAAAACCATACCGTTGGCCTCTAAACAATACTCTCTGATCCTAAAAATAAATTTGAAATTTGAGGTGGTTTGGACTTCAAGATTTCTTTCTGTGATGATCCTTCCAGAAAACACACACCTGGGATGAGCATTAAATCCTTAAACCATGAACAACCAGAACTTTCAGAAGGATTCTACACCTTTTGAAGCCATTAAATGCATCAAGAATCCTTATAAGCTGGAAGTTCTGTGGAGATAGGGGTGATTTTTATACTTTAGTGATTCAGGCATGAAGAACTGAATGTGTTCAGTGAGATTGTACTCTCCTGTTCTATTCAACTTATGAACTGTGATCAAAGTTGCCTGTGTCTGAATGTGACTCCAGGCCGCTGTGACTGGATCTATTCACCCTGTTTCAGCTCCAGAGCTGTTGTTTCTGCAGGTTTCTGGTTCAAACCTGCTGCAGTCCAGGAAGCTGTTCCCCGGTCAGTCAGCTGGACTCGGTCAGCACTGTGGAATGTGGGTTTCCCTGTGATGAAGCTAGCCTCGCAGGAACTTGCTAAGGCCTCAGAGGGAGCGGTCCAACACCACAGTGCCACATGTCACAGAATCCAAACTGGGTTTTCATGCCGCTGTGATCCACCCCTCTTTCCTTACTCTTCTTTTAGGTTTCTGAGGTCACTTCATGTCAGAGTGGAAAAAATCTAGTTCTAACAAACTCCCATTAGCTCACCTAAAGCTGTTTTCTTAAATCCCCTTGTATGTTTAATTTATACATGTAGATGAATTCATCACCTCCTGCTGCTCAGCTTCTGGATGAGTTCGCTCTGTGAACACCTGTGATCAAAGGTTTCACAGAATAATATTTACTAGAGTTTTAAAAATCAGAGGTTAAAGTGTGAGAAAATAATACAAGATTGTTTTTATTTCACAACATCATTCATTTTATGTCAGGGTCTTCATGCTGAGGTTCTGAATGTTAAATAAAATATCCCTCTGGATGCTTCTTTGTTAGCTCTAGGTTCTTCTACAAAGGGATATCCGAAGCTACAGTTCTAAAGACGATTTACGAGAACAAGTGGATAGGTTCCATCTTTTATTAGGATTTGATATAAACCTTTCATGAGAAAAATCCCAATTTCTAAATTGAGAAATATCAGCCTGCTGCCATCAACACCTTTGTTTATAGATGTTGAAGCTGGGCCTGTTTTTCAGTGTAGTCCTGTTTCTCTGACTGTGACTGGCTGTTGCTACAAGCATACTTAGTGTGAGGGATTGCCTTCAAGTCAATGAGTCCAATCAACTGGTTTTCCTTAGATAGAAAACTTTGAATCAATTTGACTGTATGATCTGTTGAACTATAAAGTGCCTTGAGATGACATGTGTTGTGAATTGGCACTACATAAATAAACTGAATTTAATTGAATTGAATAGGCTAACTGTAAACTGTCTGATTTTAGTTCAGGATTTCCTGTCTTAAGAGCTTTTAGTTGTACCATATTGTAGACTTTTATTGATAAAGCAGCATTTGCTTGTTTACTCTTTAAGAATGTTTATGCGTAATAGATTTTAAAGATGGCATGTTACGTTTTCAATCAGTACTGATAAAAAAGGATACAAAGCATTAAAGAGTTTCTGCACTGTCTGATGAAATTTAAAAACAGATGGTTTTGTTGTAATTTGCTGTATGACTAATGTCCTCCAGGAGCAGTTTAGAAGTTTTGTGGAAGTGGGAACAGATTCTTAATAAACGTGGTATCCTGCCTGCTGCGTTTGGAGGGAAGTGATAAATTCCTGTAAAGTAGAGATATGAAAGGAACATTGTGTTTAGGAATTAATCTCTGCTTTATGTGAACCCATCAGTCTGGGAGAATGGAGTCATACAGTTTATACACAAACACAAGGCAAGACATCCAGACAGAGTTAAGTTTAAAGAACCTTATATTTGAGTTTAGTTCAGTTTTAAGTTCTGAATTAACACCTCAAACTGCTAACAGAATCTATGCTGCTTCAGAACCACATGAGCCGGTCAGCACTTAGGAACTTAGTGATCTCACCAATTCTGAAAGTGACCCAGAATCTGCACAAATACATGAAAAAAAAAAAAACTCCAGCCAAAGCAGTGAAAACATGCACCCTGGCAGGATGCATCATTTCTGACATAACTGGTGATAACTGCAAATCGAATCATATAAGTAAAAGCATCGGCAGACGTAAAGACTGAACTGATGAGCAGATAAAAACTGATCCAGGATCAGTTAGTTACAGTTGCTGTATTGGATAACTCTCAGTCAAACAAAGCAGGACCTCTTATGTGTTTAGTTACAGAAAAATTCTCAAAATTCATGTGAAAAAAAATAGTTTGGGTTTTAACTCTTTTAAGAACATTACATGACTTTATATAATCTGATGTTTCTGATAATAAAGTGGAACCCAGTTCTACTTAATACCTAAAGAACCAGATCGATATCATATTCTTAAGGTTAGACTTACTTAGACTTAGACAACTTTTATTGTCTTTTTTTTATAGTTAGTTCTAGGCAAGGCAAGGCAAGGCAAGGCAAGGCACATTTATTTGTATAGCACAATTCAGTACAAAGACAATGCAAAGTGCTTTACATGATTAAAATACAGGAAGATAAAACAGAATCAAAGCAAGTAGGAACAAAAAAAATCATGTCAATATTAAGGATGTTAATGTCTCAGTATTGATCTCATAAGTAAAATTAGAATAATAACTGATGGGTGTTTCAATGTTTTTGTTTTTCTTTATAGGTTAGGTGGGGTGGGGGGTGGCCATGTGTTTGGTTCTGTGACAGTGTTGATTGCTTGGTGTTTAACTAAAGCAGAGAAGAAATGCCAGCTGTTGTTTTGTCAAAAGGAAGAAAAATACATAAAGTATAAAATATTAGTTATTAGCAAACACAGTAGTGTTAATATTGGATATCCAAACTGACCTCAGAGATTTTTATATGATTTGAACCCTAAATTTCATACATAGAATACCTAAAGCAACATTTAACCACTACTTCAAGTTACATGATGGTCAAGATTTCCCTTACTGTAGAAAATGAATTGCATTGAGCTATAAAATTTGCATGCCTTGCTCATTATGCACAAACATGATGCAAAAAGCAAGGCTGATGCAGGACCCTGTGCCAACTTGACATCATTGAGGCCCTGCTCTTTGATATTCAGTGGTTGGACAGAATGCACTGCCCATGCAATGGCTCTGTTAACAATAGGAAGGAGAGATCATTTAAATAGAAAGAAACCATCCAAATAACCTGGTTGAGTATAAATGACCATCTGACTGAGCTTAGAAGGAAACCTTAGCACCTATCAGGGAACTCTCTCTAAAAAGTGAGGACCTATTGGCAGTTACTGCAATTTTAACAGGAACTATAGGCTTTCATCTATAAAAAACAAGAATCAACTTTACAGCAACAACTCATCCAGATAGGTTTAGTCATGATAACTGTTTCTTGGTTGCAGCTGCAATTTTGACTGTTACGGTTACAGAAAAGGGATGTTGCATTATGGGCCTGGCATCCGCACTGTGTTGGTAGATCAGACAGTACTGAGTCCGTCTAGCTGGCCAGGATAGTGACTTTCTCCTCTACAGATCCAGGAACCTTGGAAGAATGCATGAAATCATAAATGTTTTCATGTGCATGATAATAGTTCAAAACTCTGGCTTTGGACTAAAAAAAACAACAACTAAGAAATAGTTGGTCTTACCTGATTCAAAAGCATCCAGTGGTTCCTTAGATGTTCAAAATAAGGACTTTCAAAATGAGAGCAACCAAGCCACTTACCTTGAAAGTAAGATGAACTGATTTGTGAAATCACAAAAAAAAAATTTGAATTTTACATGGTATCAATCTGGCTGTTTTATATATATATAAATTTATATACAGTTATCATTTTTTTCTAAAATTTTATATCGAGCAGCCTATTTCACATTGTGTGTCACTTTAATACCCAAAGGTTTCTGTTAAAACTAAGGGAAAGTGAAAAAAGGGAAAGTTCAATATTTAGAGTCAGCTATTAGCTGTTTCTGAGAGTTTATATTTGACTGTTGGAACCACTAGCACTTATCAGAATGCAGCCACTGATCTCAAAGATATAGGGAAGGTGTCATTTCTTTATCCTGCTGGTTTCATAACGGAAAAATGTGATGCAAAATGTCTGCTTGTGTGTTCCTGGTATTAACTACTCTTTTTCTTGTGTATCCTCAGAGAAGGTTGAGGTCTTGGAGCTGAACCTGACCCGTGCTGTCCATCAGACAGAGTCCTGTTATAGCCTGAAGGCGGCAGCTGAAAGCCAGATGTTAGCAGCTCAGAGTCAGACCAAAGCCTGCAATGTAGAACAGCAGTACGTGAAGCTACAGCTGTGAGTCCACTCTTCATTCAGCAGCTTCCAGTTTCAAACCATTGCTGGTTGAGGCTTTTGCTCTGATTTGGTTTCTATTTGTGTTCCAACAGTGAGAAGTGTAAAGCTGCTCAATCCGAAGCTCCGCAGGGGAACAAACAAGTAGAACCCATTGAGTCATCACCTTCCAACGCTCCCCTCACTGGTATTCCTGCACTGATGCTACTTATTTGTGCAGCTCTGCATCTGCTAACTTGTAAGTACCAGATGTGTTATAATCCCACATGCATGATGCTAAATCACTCCTGGAGGCTCAAACACATCAGAATGCATCACAAATTCACCTCTTCCTGGATTTTAGATGAACATTGATAGATTGATTGATTGAATTGATCTCACAGTGGAGAAATTCACTCATTACACCAGCTCAAATGGACAGAAAAGAGAAGAATGTGCCAAAGGTGGAAATAAGGGTGCATGAGATATATACAGTATATACAGTGCATCCACAGATGACAGCTTTTTCTTATTTTTATAGTAGGATTATTATAAAGGATTATTGCACAGGGTGTTTAAATGGGTATTTCTGTGGATTGATATTTGAATTTATATATATACAGTTATTGCACTAGGTGGGAACATGGAATATATGAATGATAATGAATGAATATGAATTTAATGTTTTAAGAGCAAATTAATATTACAGCCATATGACAGCTTTTAGCAAATATGATACTGTAGGGAGCTTTGATGTTCATCAGATTAAAGCAGGATTTGAAGAGTTAGAGCCCCATCTGGTGGATGAATGATCTCACTGCATCAATTTACAAAATCCCTTATAAAGTCAGTCCTGGTCTAAATCAAAGGTTCCCAAACTATTTAGCTTCTGACCCTTAAAATTATACCAAAGTCAACTCATGACCCAAATTATTGGTTCAGCGCAAATATTTCCTCACAATCAAATAACCATGGGGGTAAGGGGTGGTGGTAGCCCAACATTTTCTGCGTTTGAAACATTTTTTTAAAGGGAGGAAAAATCTAAATGGCAAAAGTTATTTTAGAAGATAAGATTTCACACACTGACTACTTGATTGTGTAGAGAGTTTTAATCAGCTGCTTCGATCAGACTTCCTACAGCTGAAGGACATTTTTGCTGGATTATGAAACCCCTCTTATTGCCAACTCCTCATCACCTCATTTGGTGGAATATTTCCTAATTCTAAAGCTTTGGTTAAAGCAGCTACTGTAATTCTAGGCTCTTATGTGGTGGCAGGGCATTAAGCATTGAGCAGAGCAAGCTGTGAGACTGTTTTTGTCACCTCAAAGAAGTGTCACTTAGGATATGTGGATTCTCTGTTCAGTTTGTTCAGACTGAATATAAATTGAATAAACTAAATGTTTTAAATGCTTAATTATTTAAAAACAAATCAACCTGATCGTTAAAAGTAATGTGTTCCAGGCCCAATGCATTCCTGTCACTCTAGTCCTCAGAAATTATCCTAGTTTGATTGCAACTCTTTCATAAAAAATAAAAAAACAAAAACAAAAAAACTTTAAACCTTTATGCCTGAATTTTTATATAAAGGTTCCCTGGTGAATGTGTAAAAACTGGTGCTGGGGGTAAGATTCCTGACCATGAGTCTAAAATATAAATCTCATTCTAAAGCCACTTTACTTTACACCTGTGTCTTTCCACCAATGCTGGAGATGAATAGCAAATTGTTCCTGGATTTTTGGGTTAAGTTACTCAAATATGTTTATACATAGAGCAGAGTGACTTTAGGTGAAATAAGACCTACATATGATTTAAATCAGGATGATTAATTGAGGACATCAGGACACAACTCACCTTTTCTTCTGCAGATGACACAAACAAAGCCCTTAAAAAGTTTTCTTTCTGCCTATATAGGAACCGGTCACCACTGCTGTGAGCTTTATTTATTCCATGAATGAAAAGCCCACATCTATATGAATAAACTGTTATTCTTGAACCAAAGATTGAATGTGTATCTACTCACTTTGCCTTCATTCTGACAAACATTATAGATTTTATGGTTTAAAAGAATTTTCATTTTTTTTTGCATTTTAGGAGTTTGGTGTGGAGGTGGGTCAGACATACAGCAAGCCCAACGGTTCAGGAGGAGGCCGAGCCTGGACCAACATGACTGCTGTACAAACTTCCTGTCTGCACAACAGGGTCGCCATGGAGACACTGTCACATGATGGATGCTTGGATATTGACTTTGTTTCCTTGCTTTAACTCCACATCTGCAATGCTTGATGTTGGCCTCTCAAAGCTTTGCTCTTCTTCCCATCGCAGCGCCTCAGTTCAGATCAAAGGATCAAAACTGGCAGAACTTTTTACACCATTGCTTTTATTTTCTGTTATGGCTTTAATCAGGCTTAGAGCGACCACAAATGGATTTATTTTTGCTGTCAGTGTCTCCGCTAAATGTCTGTGAGCTTTGTTTTATGGCCACAATTGCTGTTTGAAAGTTTTTATCACTGCAGAAATCTTGCGTCTCAACTTCTAGAGGTTCTCAGATTCTGGTTTGAAATATGGCTCAGGTTGGATGTACTCATTTCAATAAATAAAACCTGAGGAATTTGTAAAAAAAAATATATGTTTTCTTTTTCCAGACAATCAACTAAAGCAAAAACAAATATTTTATTTTTAAAGTCTAACAAGAAGATATAAACCTGGGGTGCCCTCGGGGAGTCTTTAAGGGCTCTAAAGTTCCTGTGCTTCTACAAACCAGACTTCCATTAATGGTTGGTTAATGGGCTGAACTGCATCAGGAATAGTAAAGCAGTGACATCTTTAAAACCTACAGGACTTCCACACTCAAGGACTGCCTTTGGACACCCCTGATGTAAACGGGCATTGACAGGCTGCATTCAGTGTGTCTAACACCTGGTCATCATGTCCAGTCCTTAACGTTTTGGATGACTATAAGAACGTCCTTAGCACAAACGCTGCAGAAGGCTGTTAATCAGGAGGTCTGTGTTTAAGCAGAGAAACACCTAAAACATCGAGGAAATAAGTATACATTTACTTTCCTGTTAGACTAATAGTGCACAAGTCCAGTCCAGTCAAATTTCCCTTCGCCAACATTAAGCAATCTGTATTAAAAAGTAGGAATTTCAGACCCCAGTGTGGTAGATTTTAACCAGAAACAAAAAAGAAAGTTAGAATTACGTCAGAAGTTTTAAGCAACAAGACCAAACCAAATATTCATATACAAAATACAAATAAGCTGCAATTTAAATCAACAGTAGTTAAATTTAACCGTTTTTAGCAGCAGTTTCAAATGTATGAAACATTTAGTCAGTCATACTACCCATTACTGTCTAAAGCCAGGAATTTGTAACTTTACGTGCCTAATCCTGCATAGTAAAGTGCTTTTGTGATTGTTTTAACAATTGCCTTAGTGGCCATAGGAACATTTGAGAAACTGTAATGCCATCACCTCAGGTCACATCATTCTGGCTTCCCAGCTCTAAGGTAAAGAGAACACGGGATAACAGCTGAGTAAAAACCAAACGATTCCTGAGTGTTTAAGGGAGATATCTCAAAGCTGCAGCAGAGGTGCTCAATGGCAGTGCTTTTATTCTGAAAGGATCAGGTTAATTATACCAAACTCCATCTTCGAACTTAAGAGTTTACAGGCGACACCTAAAGGAAGCCGTTTCCCAACAGCTTCCTTTAGGTCCCTCTGCAACATCTTTGACTGGGCCATTAAAGTACCTTTAATGCTTTTTCGAGTGATTCAGACGTTTTTCCCAAACTATTGTATTGAAAAGCCAGCCTAATCTTTTTTGATAGACTTTAAATTTGAATAGCGTAAAAGATTATGCTATTGGTGCCTCTGTCAGTTCAGTTTGTGAAAGACATCAAGTTTTAATCATCCTCTCCTACAGTATAAAATACCTGGTATGATCTGAATCACTGTATTTAGTTTTTCTCCAACTTGAACCGGTGAATTTTAGGCAGACATTATTGCCTAAAGTTACAACTTACCAGCCGAACAAAAACAAACTCCATCTCTGATTATGAACCAGCTCAGTGATACATTTAGCATTCATTAATATCTCTCACACACTAGCCTGCCCCTTACTGAGGTACTATTCATAGACGGAGAGGATATATACAAGAACCAGATTTAAAAATATTTTTTATTTAACACAAGTTTTTTTTCTGAGTTGGAATAGCATCTAAAAAAATACAACAAAACAAAATAAAACTAAACAGTGTAATGTAAACAATGTAAAACAATATATCAGGGTTATTTTACATGGAATCAAGGTGTGACTCTCCAAATATTGACATCCTTTCGAGTCGGAGGTTAGCCATAGTTAATTCAAAGTTGATTCCTTTCCTCATATTAAGCAACTTTTTAAAGCTTATGAATAAAAAAAAAAAGTTATTTCAAAAGAGTATCTTCTGTATGATCTACACAGTGTTTATATCTAAACTCTATACACACTTGAGGACACTAAAGTTGCAGAAGGTTCCTCTGGGACATCCACACAGCTTCCCGATCCTGGCCCCTTTACGCACCGCACACTGCTCCCCTGCATCACACTGCCAGACAGGAAAAAGCAACACAAAACTCACAAAACCATCCAACATCTCAAATGATGCATGAAAACTAAATGGAATGAGAAATGTTTCCTGTGTTATTATGGCAATGAAACATCTGAAGCCCTGTGTTGATCAAATGTAAACCCTAATATTGTTGGGGCTGGATAAAAAAGTCAGGCGAGATGGAGCTTACAGGTGGAAGCCAGCCCAGTTTCTTCTCAGTGGATGGCAGCTGTTTGTTCCTCAGCTTTTCCAGAACTTCCTGCAGGGCTTCGATCTGAGGCAGGAACAGCAACAGACTTCACTGAGTGCTGGAATTCACTTCAACCAGGAATCAGAAACGGAACTTAAATGGCATGGTTATCTAACGTGATAGACACAGACTAAGGATAACTTTCTACATGAGAAAACAGACAGATCTCTTTAGAAACCCCAGATTTCAAAAAGCCCATCTTAAACAAACTGAGTTACTAAAGACAATCTCAGCTCCTAGATCTGAAAATGAGACCTAATATTGCATCTATGTACATCAAACACTGCACCTCAGTAACCAGTCTGAAACGGCTCCAGTTATCAGACGACATTATGTCCTTGGTCGGATCTGGGACAGTGACCAACCGGTACACTGGTTCAGTCACAACCATCTGAAGTGTAATACATGGAGGACTGTGGATATGATGCTAAGCTTACACACACCCCACCCTCCCTACCTTCACCAACAACAGTGTGAATCCTGTGGATCACTTGTGGTTCTAGGAACCACTCAGGGACAGGGATTCAAGATGATCCTCACTCATAAACACTGTTCTGAAGAAGGCCCCGCAGTAATTCCTGTAGAAACTCAGGACCTGCTGGTTATTTTCTACGCGGCAATCAGTCAGTGTGTCCTGGGCTCGTCCATTACCATGTGGTTTGGCTAACACACACAACAGGACAGATCGAAACTACAACAAACCAGTCTATAAAGAGGATCATTAGGGCTTGGCGTTCATCCATTCAGCATTTGTCTGGCTAAAATTGTGCACACAAATAACCGAGGTGTCGACTCACCAGCTCCTTCTCTTCTTCAGTCTTGATGACATCATATTCAGGTGATCGCTCCTCTATCAGCTCATTGCAGCTTCCTAAAGCCACCAGCATCCAGCAAGATGCACTGAGGAGCAGCATCCTGCCGCTGACCATGGTGCTGACGGACTTGGACACGACGGCAATAGGGGTTGAAGGTTGTGAAGTTAGTGGATCTTTTGTCTTTCTGCTGGACATGGGAGGCTGAGCCTCAGTCTGGAGAGTTTATACTGAATATGAGCAGCTCTGACATCACACCGGCAATATTTACTTAGATAACGAGGCAATCAGGCAGCTCACCTTTGAGGTCGGCAGAGGATAGGAGCTCTGCTCCATCAAACAGGAAGTGAGGGGAAGATTTTCACCTTTTGTCCAACGTTAAACATTTTCTGACCTAACTTGTTTTGCTGCCCAGTCCCTTCAGAAACGTTAATATCTAAGTAAAAGCCCAGTTAACCATGATTTATGCTGAACCGACAGCTGTCTACAGAAATCTCTGATTTTAATGCTCAAAGCTGCGGTTGCTCTTCCCTAACATAACTTACAGAACCTATATGCAAAACTGAGAAAAAACTATAGAAAAAAATGAGCCAAACATTAAAATCCACATGAAAAGTTTTCATATGTTGAACTTGGGTCGAGAACATAAACCTTATTCTGGCTTTTTTGGTGTTTGCCCTCCTCTCTCAGGTCTTATTACTACAAATTTCTGAAAAGTTTTATTTAAGACTCTCAGACCTCAATCAATATTAACAAAATAAAAGCCCCAGAAAGACTGTAAATACAGATGCCTGAACAAACTTAGAATATTTCTTTGGCTAAGTTTATAAAAGTCCTCAGAAATAAGACTTTCGAAATGTTTGCTTTAAAAAAAACAAACAATAAAAAAACCACTTAAAAATAGATAAAGCCCTAAGTGTGATCATAGACTGTAATGTATAAAGACATTTTAGAAGTGTGTTTAAAACATCAACCCCTTTACCTCCATGACTTAAACTTAAGACCGTGACAAAAGTGGAGATGATTAAATCTAAGAGTTTATGACTTTGCAGAGACTTTGGTAAACCTGATCTGTTCTGATTATAGCCACAAATCTTTTGACACGTGATAAATGTGCATAAATTGCAAGGAAACAAATCAACATTTTACTAAACTCTTGGAGCCTGAGGTACCCTTGTAAGAATTTAGACAGGATGTTCCTTTATAGTAAGCAGACTGACAGGAAGAGCTGCAGATCATCAGGGTCTCTCTGTGTCACCATTTACGTCAAAGCACCCAATGCTTTAATCTTTGCACGATGAAGTCAACATGCATCAGACAGCAGGAGAATCAATGCTGAGGAAGATCAGCGTGGAGCAGAATTAAGACACAGATTTAACCTAGGTCCTTCAATAAACAGGATTTAATATCCGAATACAATGAAAATGCATGAATCTGTGATACATACACAACTATTTCTCTTCAACAAATGATTTTAGCTTTACTAAAATTTTAATCTAATTTCCTTTCAAAGCCTCATGTAATTTACAATGAAAAAAAAAAAAAGTGTTTAATAACCTTGAACAAAACAACTAACCTATACAATTTCCAAAGATTGTTTTTTCCCCAAATGGGAAGGAGCCAAATGCCAATCATTATCTGGTCGACCTATGTTTGAAAAACCTGTGTTAACCCTCTAATTTCACTGGGAAAGAGCCTATTGCAAACATAC